TAATATAATAAATATTGTGAAACAATACTCTACGGTCATGTTTGTTTGGGTGGACATGAGTTTGGGATGAGATTAATAGTCCAATAAAATTATTAATCCGATGTTTGGTTAAACAATTGAAGTACGGACTAATTATTTTAAACTTGACTATTAATTAAGATAGGATACATAATCCAACGGATTCGTAGTTCAAGGACTATTAGTCATGGGAATGTTAATCCAGTCCGCCCAAATAAACATGAGTTACAAGTGAGTCCCATTTATCTTTATCTTTATCTTCTAAACATGAGATGGGTTTAACTCAACTTAGACACATTTCTGCCTTATAGCTATAGGTAGCTTTGTTCATTCATCCATACATTTTTTACTAAAAGAAACCAGTACTTGAATTGAAACCTACTAATTTTATTTTATTACTGATAAAGAATGTAAGCCCAGGGTTTATATGTTTAATTTTATGCCTTTATGTACTTTTGCTGCACAATATTATTAGTGGTAATCGAGGCCTAACCTTTTTTCCCCATATAATATTAAAAATAGACGGTGAATAAATTAACGGTTGACAAAAATCTGATTTGATCACATAGTTACCGATATCCGATTAACGTGATTTTTTACAGGCTTATAGTACTCGACGAGTTCTATACATTTGACGGTTCAAATTATCAAAACATGACTCGTGGTGAACCTCCACGAACCCAACAACACTATTTTAATCGGACTGGATAGAAGCCAACACCTTTATTTTATTACTGATAAAGAATGTAAGCCCAATGATGGGTTTATATGTTTAATTTTATGCCTTTATGTACTTTTGCTGCACAATATTATTAGTGGTAATCGAGGCCTAACCTTTTTTCCCCATATAATATTAAAAATGGACGGTGAATAAATTAGCGGTTGATAAAAATTTGATTTGATCACATAGTTACCGATATCTAATTAACGTGATTTTTTACAAACTTATAGTACTCGATGAGTTCTATACATTGAGCGATTCAAATTATCAAAACGAGACTCATGGTGAACTTCCACAAATCTAACAATACTATTTTAATCGGACTGGACAGAAGCTAACGCCTTTATTTTATTACTGATAAAGAATGTAAGCCCAATGATGGGTTTATATGTTTAATTTGATGCCTTTATTTACTTTTGCTGCACAATATTATTTGTGGTAATCGAGGCCTGACCTTTTTCCCCATATAATATTAATAATACAAGTGCACAACTTATTCTTGATGGTATTCATAGTATGGATTCCTTTGTTACCTTTAAACTTTTTCATCATCTTTAAAAACATTATAAACTTGTACTATATCATTAATTTAATTGAAAGCACTATTCAACTTGTTTACCCACTAAACTTTGCGAAACTTTTTTTTTCTTTTTTTAACTTAGTACTTGATTTAATATAGACTCCAATTGTCATAAGCTAAAAACATTTAAAAAGGCAATTTTTTACTTAAAAAAAAAAATAGTAACTTTCTAAATATATCAGCTTTTTATGATGTACAAATTTTATTTACATGTAACTAAAAAACTCAATGAACTTGAAAAATGTGTTTAAGTGGGTGTTTGGGAAGTAAGTTTTTATGTAAGTTTTTTAGTTGTAAGATATTATTAGATAAAAAAATTTTGGTGTTCGAAAAGATAGTGAAGTTTTTTTGTAGTTAGATGTGATATTGTGAGAGAAAAAGTGGAATAATTATAGGGTTGGATGTGATATTTTGTTTGGATTTATTTTTTTTGATTTTGCAAAAAGTTTGTCTTTTAGTGTAAAAAATCATAAAAAAACCCAACCCACAAACTTCCCAAACACCTTTACATAATGAATTCATCTAAAACTAACTTTTAACAAATAGGACACAATTGAAACTCAAATAACTTGGTTGGTTTACAATTACAAATCTACTTAGATTTTGTTATTGTTACGCACTCTTGGATAGGGGTGTTCATGGGCAGAATTAATTTGGTTTTAAGGTAAATTCAGAACAAAATCAATCTTATTTAAAAACAGTTCGGTTTTATGGTTCTAAGCTAGAAAATTTTATCAATATATAGACTATCCAGTCAAAAAATATTGATTCTACCTATAAAACTAATTTCAAAATTTTACAAGTATATTTCAAAATTTCTGAAATATTCTCCAAACTAAATTTATAAAATGGGTAATGACATAACAAATTCATCATATTATGTAGCACTTGCTATAGACATACAATTTTCAATAATATAACAAATGTAAAAATCATGTAAGTAGTGGGAAAAAAAAAACAAACAAACGAACACATCTTCATATATAGAGAAAATATTTTGTAAATAAGATGAATAAAATGTCATCGATGTTGAAATAACATTAAAGTTCTATGAAGCCAAAAAAAATAACAAATTCCTTGTGGAACACACCGATATATATGAAAATTAATATAAAGGAGAGAACAATTTGATTCGGTTTAATTTGGTTTTTTGAGTTTTAATCTATTAACTGAACTATAATCAAAGATTCTTAATTTATTAGAACCAAAACTATTTCTTAGAAAAACTAGACCAAGTTATACAATTTGAATCACTTTAAATGATTTAGATATTCAACTAATTCTTTTGAACACCCTACCTTCGCCTTCAATACGAAAAAAAAACTTTTGCTTTGCCCCTCGTATTGATTGACAAAATAAAATAAGAAAAATGCTAAAATAATCCTTAAAATTGCTGTTGGCGTTAGAAAAGTGTATTAAAATGTGTAAAAATATTTTGAAATATATAAAAACTGTATTAAAATTATAAATATTTTGACATTTATTTTTCAAATTTTTTATTGACACCCTTAAAGATATTTATTAACAAGATCACATAAAAAAATATTAGTGAGTACATAGGTCTTAGGTGCACATTATTTTGAGACCCACGTTCACTTTTGTGCATTGTGGCGTTATTCTCCTTGTCTATTTCATAACCATAAATGTTTCAACTTGCCTCATCTTCTTTCTTATGATGCAGTTACATGTGGGGATTTCTTAAATTTTTATCACTTATCTAATCTAAACATACCCCTCAATTCAATACACTTCTAACCATTGTTTGTGGATCTTGAAGAGACCCCTGTCCCTGCCCCTCTCTCTTTCTCTCTCTCTCTCTGTGTCTGTGAAAGTGGGTATGAGGCAAGACCTGAAATTACACCCACTAAATCAGATTCTCAAGATACAAGGAGGAAATGTTTCTGTTCAATCTCACACATTTTGTTTTAGTTAAACAAAGTGGCTCTTCTATTCCTAATATAATCCTCCGAGATGGGCAGTTTTAAACACAGAAATCAAGACACGTATTGGTATTGGTATCAATATCAGTTGTAATTTTACTGTGTGGAGAGCATTCATCAAGAATTAAGTGTCGCGAATCACAATAATGAAATTATTAGCTTCAAAAAATAATTTCATTATAGCAGTGGCAATTGATATTAAAAGGATAAAAACTCAAGGTATCCATATCAAACGATTAAGAACTCAACAGTATCACCAATATTTAAAACATGGGCAGCTGTAGAATTTTTATCAAATGACAAAAAGATTCTGAACCTGTCACAATTTGGTGATATTTAAGATCTTATCCGGACATTGTTTAGTGTAAAAGTGCCATAAATATCATTGGCAGAGGCAAACATTGGAGGCTTTTTTTTTATTAGTTTATAATTAGAATATTAATTAGTTTATGATTAGTGCTCAATGAGGAAAATATTATATTATCCACGAATCTTTGTCATAAATGTAGATTTCTTTTCGTAGTGGATGGAGATCACAGCAACAATGACACTTCAAAGTGAGCTTACCCTGTTTTGGGAAATTGATGTATCATTTATATTTTTTTGAAGCAAAATTTTCAGTCATGAAATGGAATGGTTGATGACTCCATAGTTGTATTATCCCATATTAAGGGGGTCAATGTAAATGTATAAGTAAACAAAATTAACCACTTTTGGACAAGGGTAGATTACACTTTTAACCTTTATAGTTTGATCAAAATTTTACTTTGATTTGAATAATTTGATCCTTACATTTTATGTGTAGTTTTAATCTAGTCATTTCAGTCAAGTTCGAGGTTAAAATAATAATTTTGAAATATTTGTCAATTTAATAAGGTATGTATTTGTGAAACAATTGACAAAATTTTGAGTAGAAAACCCAAATTGACAAAAAAATTGAAGAAAAAAACCAAATTGAAATTGGACTTTAAGTTTAGAGATTAAATTGTTCAAATTGAAAAAATTAGAACTAAAATGAAATTTAGAACAAACTATAAAGATGAAAAGGGTAACTAACCCTTTGAAAAATATGACAATGTCTTTAGTGCTGTGCAAAATTAGAAAATATCAATAGGTGATAATTTCTTATATCAATTATTTTTAAATAGTTGGCTCAATTATTTTATACAACTTTTTTTTAAAGTTAAATAACTAAAATCTTAGTTCATAATTTATTAGACTCTTTCTATTAGTTAATATAATTTACACAAATAAAAACTCTACTTGTATGGTTTTTGTAATCATAAAAATATCAAATCACATTTACCTATCTTTTTTTAATTTTTTTATCAATAGTTAAGAGAGTAATTATATTATCAGAAGTATTTACATCATCAAACAATAACTAGAAAGTTAACAAAATCTAACAACCAATTCACTAAGCCCACCAAGTTAAGTCCAACGACCACTAATAATCACATTTACCTATCAAAAGAATAGAATTAATACTATTCCATACTATATGAAATAGTTAGAAGTCAACACCATAAATAACATGCTCTTAGAATAAAATGTCAATAAAAGAATTTTGTTAATAAGTGCTCTTAGTACACTTGATAAGAAGTTTGAAATGTTTGTACATAATGAATAAGAATGCGTGTAACATGCAATACATAATCAATTTAAACATTCGTAGGACACTCACTAACCAAATCCTTTTTAAAAAGTTGCAGATATTCTATATTCACTGTAGAATTATTTATAAATGAGAGAGTAACAGATATTCTATATTCATTGTAGAAATGCTCAAAATATTTCCAATTAAAGGAAGAACAATAGGTTTTACTCTAGAAACTACTGGACATAAGTCCAACAGAATCAAGATTAAGCCGAACTTTCCTACCATTAAGATGCTGACCCTCTACTGCAACTTCAAGCAACAACTGCTATACAGCATAGCTTTTAACTGCCAGAAAACTTGATTATGTTACACAAAACAAATCAATTTCCAACAACAGGAAAGAAAACATGAGCTCAAAACTATGCGGTTTCCCTTCTGTCTTCCCCTTTGAGCTACACAACTGAATCAAAGTACACCCCAAATTAGTACTTCCTCTTCCTGATTTTAAAGGTGGATGATCGAATTACATCATCATCTGTTTGCAGTGTTCCCTCAAGAACTGCCATGGACTCGGGTTTGGTGAAATAAGTGAAGAGGAGGTAGATACCATCCAAGTAAGTATTACTCTCTCCTGCTTTGTTTTTCTTCTTGATGCTGTATGCAAGCAGAATAACCCCTATGTTGAACACCTCCACGTACATTCCACCCCCGGCAACAAGCAACTGCAAAATCAGCATTGTTAACAAAGCCCTCACATCAAAATTCCAAATTTGCAACATGACACTCCCTGAGGTTTCAGAAGCTCATTATGATGATTCATGAAAGAAAGCAACACTAAAACACAAATTTATGGACGTATCCATAAGACTAACATTCTTTGTGTACAAAACCTTCTCATTGAACTTACGCAGCATTAGATTAGTTCCTATGGCATTCCATAATTTTTTTGGTATTATGACAAGGAAAATTTGTAGTTTTCCCAACCCAAAAAAGAAAAGAAACAAACAAACAAAAATCACAACTCACATTTAACATTACCATTTCCAAAGATGTCTCATATGAAGCATTTGTGCCTTTGTATGTAAAGGAAAACAAGGGGAATAAAATAAATTTCACATGAATGTAATTGGCAGCCAAAAGATGGAAGATGTTAAGAAACAGAATAAATGAACTTTCATGGAAGAAGCAGCAGATAATATGTAACTTCCGCCATCTTACATTGTTAACATCAGTCCTGGACCTTGGAATAGAATCTTTGAATCTCAAATTCAACCATATGCTATACTGCAGTTTACTTGTTCTTACAACAAACAAGGTTACAGAAAAATACACAACCTTGACTAATCAATTCCACCCTAGCATTATCCACCAAGCAGATCCATTACTTTATTACTTTCACTATAACTCATCTCTAGCAACTTATTGAAGCTTGAATGGACTGTAACATTCCGGCCCCTTAAAAGTAAGAAACAGATACAGATGGCCTTGTGCACCCAGTAAAGCTTCCCTAATACAGAAGTGACAATACAGCCCCTTGCAAAGGGTAATCCAAGTATCAACGGCAAGTTTCGGTTAGTGACACTTGTCATTCTGGAATGTTACAAATCTTTTTCTATTTCAGCATGATATTAATATTATCATTAGACTTATCAAAAAGAAAATTATATTATCATTAAACAGCCTTTTATTGAAGGATCACAACTGTACCACCTTTAGCAATGTCGATGAATTGTTAAAGAAAGAACTACTGAAAGGTATGTATTTTTTGCTATCAAGAGAAGTAAATCACACGTTCATAACACATAAAGTTGAATGTGAAAACGAGGATACTGTTTCAAGGCCTGCTCTTTATGCTGAAGTTATAATTCATTAAGGCGGAGGGAGAAGATTTCGTTTAATTCTGCGTGGAGTTTGTGGACTACATACAAAAAACTTGCTACTAACAATTAATGTTTCCTAACAAATCTAAAACTCGAGCACTCTACATATTAATCTTATATGTGAGCAATATTTGAAGAGACCAAAAAAAAAAAAACACCAAAGTTGGTGTTTATTTAGGAATTTTAGATTTTTATTTTATTTTATTCGTTTATTTTTAGTTTTTGTTCTTTTCTTCAAGGAGATGCAGTGATGATTTAAACAAAATTTAATTTGGACCATTTGAGTGCCCATTTTAAAGATTAAAACATTCTAATGTTACCACCAGAAAATTTTATAATATAACGAGTTAAGCCATGTGCGTTTCTTCTCTAAAGGGATTTCATTATAGTCAAAAGACTAAGGTTGTGGGTAACATATCCTAAGTCCAAACTTTGAAAGGGATTTCATTATAGTCAAAAGACTAAGGTTGTGGGTAACATATCCTAAGTCCAAACTTTGAACACATGTTCGGTTGCAATCTCCACAACAATGCATCATATGGTACTCATTAGCGAGCAGCTTGTAGTCAATGGTTTGATTTCACTTATGAAGGAATTTTCAATTTTCCCTTTAAGACATGCTATCTCAAATAAACACAAAATTTTTGGAAATATAAAATCTAAGAAGCACGGACACGGATACGACACGGACACGCAGACACGTTAATTTTCAAAAAATACAGAACACGACACGTAGGGGACACGCATGAAATATTTAATTTTATATATTTATTATATGTTATATATATGAATATATCATTCAAAGATAATAAAAAATGTAATATGATACTAATTCCTATAAATTTATATGATTTTTGTTTTAATTTTTTATCTTAAGTTGTTTTGTTTAAACTTATAATTAGTTTCACATGTGTCCAATCGATAGACACGTGTGTTTATGCGATTGACACGTGTGTCCTCCAAGTGTCCAAAAAGTGTCCAAGTCTTTAAAAAAAATTAAAAAATAGGACACCTTTTGAAGAGTGTCGGATACGTGTCGTAAGAGTGTCGGTGTCCAACACGGACACAGACACAACACGGATACGTCACCTTCTTAGAAGTGTCCGTGCTTCTTAGTATAAAATGCAATTGGTAATTTCCAAAAAATTGAAAAATGTTGCAAGTAATATTACTAGGCGTGGTATTGACATGAGAATGCAAACATAATACATTGACATAAAAGTTAAATAATATTTAGAGCAAAGATCCTCACAACAATCAACCATTGCATCTCCAAGATTATCATTACCAAATAGATTTGCAGAATTTGGAGAAAAGGAATTTCTTTAAATTGACATTTTGGTAGAACATTATGACCACACTCAAGGGGCTAGCCACTTAATCAGGTTTCTTACCTAGCTTTATATCACTAATGTTGTGTTTGGATCATTGACTTAGATAGGAACGTAGAAAGGGAAAGGAAAAGGTGAAGGAAATGGAGAAAAAATTTAACTTTCATATCATTCACATTTCCCCCCACTTTTTCTTTTTCCTTTCCATATCCCTACTCAAATTCATGATCCAAACACAACCTCAATACCCTAAATAAGATTTTGTGTCTTCCAACAATTAGTCAACTAAGTGCATTCCTCCTATGTTCCCTTCTTTCCTTCAACTTGCTCCAAAAAATAAAGTTGTAGGATTATAGTTAAGCAAGTGATTTTGTACAACATTAGCAAGTTAATTTGATTTATACAAGTTCTTTAAAACATTTGAGTTGCCCATCTAATTTTCCCCAAAATGTCCTCTTAGATAAAATATTTCAATCCAAAAGCATTCAGGCCAATTATCTTGAGCTATGAAGCACGGGTGCTCCAAAAATAGTGCCATACACGCACCGGGTACTTACCGGGTGGGGTGCGGGTACGCATACCGGTACGGCTACACGCGTACCGGGTATGGCAAAAAGTGGTCGGGTACGTCTGCCTCAATCGGGTACAGCATGGGTACGGCTCGGGTACGGAATGGGTACGCCGATGGTGCGTTTTGGGTACGGCGGGGGCAGAAATCAAATTTTCTGAAAAATTAAGGGGTACCGGAGCAATATTAAGAAAAATTAAAAAAAGAAAAAGAAAAAGAAAAAATGTATATACAATTTGCCCTAATCACCTCGTCTTCGACTTCGACATTTGCCCTAATCTCATCAAAGCAAAGAGGACTTCGACCATCACCCTCCTTCGACTTTGACTTTTGCCCTAATCTCATCGAAGCAAAGAGGCTACTTCGACCATCACTCTCGTCTTTGACAGCGACTCGACCATCACCCTCGTCTTCGACAGCAACCATCACCCTCATCTTCGACTTCGACTTCGACCCAGAGATCGACTTCGACCCAGAGACTTCGGCTTCGACCTGCAGAGAGGTATCTCTTCATCTTTATTTTTTTTGTTTTTTTTTCTTGTTTCTTCTTTTTTCTTCAGAGGTATAATCTGATGTTAATAAATTAGAACACAAAAAATCATATTTAGAACAAAAAAATTAAAAAAATTAGAACCAGGTTATTCAATCATATTTAGAACAAAAAAAAAATAGATCAAAAAAATTAATAAATTAGGAAATAATCATAAATATTAATAATCATAAATATTATTTTTAATCATAAAATTAGATCAACAAAATGTTAATAATAATCATAAATATTAGTTTTGATATTTAACTTCAATTTGTAGGTTGGATCTTTTAACCATAATTATAAAAAATAAAAAAAATCAGCGTACCGCGGCCGTACCCGTACCCTACTTTTTTAGGGTTTTGTTGTATCGGCGTACCCGTACCGTACTCGTACCCGCACCCGTGCTTCTTAGATCTCGAGTAATTCTATTTCCACTCTTTTATCTACGTGCACATTATATCTTAGTTCACACACTTAATGAATTTGAAGAAAAAAAAATTTACTCAGTACACAACTCATTATACCAAAAATACCATCTTCTTCACCCGTCTAACACTAACCTAATTTCTAACCCTAACTAGCCACTATCGCCACCTCTACCCTAGCCACCGTCGTAGCCCATCGCCGTCACCTCCTCCTCCTTCTTCTCTGACGAATCTCCTCCTCACTCCACCTGCCTTACTCTCAAACCCTTCCCCACCCCTTCCTCCCTCCATCACCTCCCTGCCATCGCTACCACAAGCTTTCATCCCATCTCCTTCTTCTTATTTTCTTCTCTGAAAATCCTAGATCTAGAGTTTGTGCTGTTCTTCCTCCCTAGTTGACGCCATTCTTCTTCCAGTTGCAGAAGAAGAGAGAGAGATGCGAGTTGTAAAAGAAAAGAGTGAGGGCGACACGACGATGAAAAAGAATAAGAGAGAGTGTGTCGGGGTAAACCAATGACGGTGTCGGTTATAGAAGGCACGATCGTGATGGCGGAGATGACAATGGTAGGGGCTGTTAGAAATAGGAAAGAATATTTGTTATATTTTATTCTTATTTTAGTTTTATTGGTATAATGGGCCGGCTCATAATTTATGCCTTATGGCACTCCTGTAATCACTTATTATTATCAATATAAAAGGGGATGAGATCTAACATATCCCCTAACTCTTTCTCTTTTCTAAACTTACATGGTATCAAAGCCATGCCCTAGCCATCTCTCCTTCTCTTCCACCCATCCCTACCCATTGCTTTCTTTCTTTCTCCTCCTATACGAAATACTCTTCTAAGCCACCGCCAAGCTCCCTCCAGCCACCGCCAGGCTCCCTCCTTCTTCCTCTCTCCCCGACAACCCCACCCAAGCCTTGTCCAACCTTCTCTCCTCCCGACAGCCCTTACCCAACCTTCCCTCTCCCTCAACAGGCCCCTCCAGCCACTGCCAAGGGTCTCCAGGTGGCCGACCAGCCTCCTTGCTGGTCTAGTCTAGATCGACAACCCTTCTAGGGTAGCCTGGGCTCATGCCTTCTCTTCAGGGCTATTCTGGTGATGTACAACACTCATTTCTTCTCTTGGGGGCTCTTCTGGTGATGTAAACCAAAAAAAAACAAAACAAAACAAAAAAGAGTATGTTACTGGATTCTTAATTTTTTTATGCTTTCATAGTGACTGTTGTGCTTGTTTTTCCACTATCATCTTTCGGGTTTATGATTGACATGTTTGAGAAGTAATTAGTAGAGTTTCCATGGCAGATTTGACAAGTGAGTCTATTACCTCTCAGCCATCTAAGGGCAAGAGTTCTGTTATCCCTTCTACTATGACTGATAACCTTAACCATGGCCTTAAAATCACCACCTCTTCATTCAATGGTCAGAATTTCCTAGCGTGGTCGCAAAGTCTGACTATTTTCTTGACGAGCAACAAGAATATGGGATATGTTCATGGGAGGGTCCAGGCACCCAGTATTATAGACCTTCGTTACAACCAGTGAGAGATCACCAATTCTCTGATTATGGGCTGGTTAATTCATTCTATGGTTCCAGAGATTGACGAGGGCTACTTGTCTATGGACACTGCCCAAGATATTTGGGAGGCCATAGCTACTACTTATTCCAGGAAGAACTTCTCACAGGCTTTCGAGTTACGTCGCTCCATTGAGCGGTCGATGCAAGGTAAGATAACTATCCTCCAGTATTTTACCTTCATTAGCAATGGGTGGAAACAACTTGATCACTTTCAAGATTACAAACCTATTTGTCCCACTGATTCTGCTAGTTACCGATAATTTGTGGAGAGAGAGCGGGCCTTCAAGTTCTTGGAATGTCTGAATGTAGAGTATGATCCTGTTTAGAGCAGAGTACCTGGCATGGACATGCTTCCATCTCTCTAGGAAGCCTTTGCTTTTGTGCAGAATGAGGAAAGTTGCCGTTCTGCTATGCTTCCTCCTGCCACTACTGATCGCTCTACCTTAGTTTCTGCACCCCCTCAAGATGGTGTGCCTCGTGGTTCTCGTCCCTCCTCTGAGAAGGATCAACTTTTCTGTGACTACTACTGTAGACCTCGCCACACCAGGGAGACTTGTTGGAAGCTACATGGGACTCCTTCTGGTGGCCAAGGAGACTGTCCTAGTACTCGAGGGGGTTGGTCTAGTCACTCTAGAGGTCGAGGGGCCAATGCACAAGCGCATCTTTCAGACACGATTGAGCCACCACCTTCATCTCCCGTTGTCTCACCGGCTGCTGATGTTTCGGGGTTATCTTCCTCCGATTTTGAGATTACTCTTCGCCACTTGCTAGACCGTCGAGCCTCTACTTCTGCCACAAGTGCACCCTCCTCTTTCTTTGCTAATTCAGGTAACTTGGCTTCCTCCACATGTGCATTGCTCTGTCATACTACTGTGCCATGGATTATTGATTCTTGTACTTTCAACCATATATCTAATTCCTCTCATTTGTTCTCAGAGTATAACCCTTCCTCAAGTCAGGATAAAGTGTGTATTGCTAATGACACTATTTCGTCAGTGTTAGGGAAAAGTTTAATTCATACTACCTCTTCCTTTCCTTTATCCTCTGTCCTATATGTTCTCAATTTTAGTGTGAATCTTTTATCTTTGAGTCGTATTACTCATGATTTGAATTGTAGCGTGATGCTTTTTCCAGATCATTGTCTTTTTCAGGACCTAATCACGAGGAAGAGGATTAGCAGTGATAGAGAGGAACATGGTCCCTACATTTTGGATCAGACAGATAAGTTTGGCTCATTCATCTCTTCAGTTACCATCCTCCACAAAAGACCTTTGGTTGTGGCATCATCGCTTAGGACATCCTTTTTTTTTACTACTTAAGCATTTATTTCATTTTGTTTTTAGAAAAATAATGTCTGATTTTCAATGTGAGTATTATCAACTTAGAAAACAACACAGAGCTTCTTTTGCTCCTTCTATTAATAAAAGTTCAATTCCTTTTTCTTTGATTCATTCTAATGTATGGGGTCCCTCCCGGTTTGTGTCTTTAAAGGGTTACAAATGGTTTGTCACTTTCATTGATGACTGTTCTAGGGCCACTTGGATATATCTGATGAAAGACGAGTGAAGTGTTTTCTGTCTTTCAAAACTTCCACTGAATGGTTTGCACTCAGTTTGGAACAGTTGTCAAAATTCTACGTTTTGATAATGGAGGGGAATGTATTGACTCTAGTCTTACTAGTTATTTTGCTACTCATGGCATTATTCACCAAACTTCTTGCACTAATGCTCAACAAAATGGTATTGCAGAACGAAAAAATCGCCACCTTCTTGATGTGGCCTGTTGTCTATCCTTTGAAATGTGTCCCTCGATCCTATTGGGGGGAAGCAATTCTCACTGCAACTTATTTAATTAATCGTCTTCCCATCCAAGTCCTTCAAAAACGAACCCCTCTTCAGGTTTTGTTCGAGTCCACGTCTTCTGGGTTCTCCATTCCACCTAAGACCTTTGGATGTGTTTGTTTTGACCATAATCATTCACCTACTCGTGATAAATTGGATCCTAGGTCAATTAAGTGTGTTTCCTGGGTTACTCTGCTACCCAAAAGGGTTTAAATGTTATCATCCGCCCTCTCACAAATGGTTTGTCTCCATTGATGTCACTTTCTTTGAGTCTCAGTCTTACTTTCCAAGCTCCTCCTTGTCACAGTCATCCCTTCTGGGGGCACCTTGGTGTAAAGAGATTCCTGTGCCACTACCACCAGTGGTGGAACAGGTAAAAGATGTTGAGCCAGCAATTGTTGTGGAAAAGGAAGGCAAAGTTTATGTCAGGGACAAAGATAGACAGAAAGTCACTTGGATGCAAAAGACTACTTTTCCTCCTCTACTGTCACCTTCTCCGGATGAGTGTCCAGAGTCATCCCCCTCTCTTGAGAGTCCAGGTAATTCTACTCCTAATGCTCCTATGCCCGAATTCTCCGATCTTGATGTTCCCATTGCTAATAGAAAGGGAGTTAGGTCATGTACTCAGCATCCTCTTACTAATTATATCTCTTATTCTAATCTATCTCCCTCATATAGAGCCTTTTGTCTAAAATTTCTTCTGTGAGTCTGCCTAACAATTTTCAGGATGCTCTCTCCATTACTGAATGGAAACATGCCGGGATGAAGGAGATGAGAGCTCTCAGCAAGAATGGCACGTGGGAGTTAGTGGAGTTACGTAGAAGGAAAAATTCAGTTGGGTGTAAGTGGGTGTACGCTGTGAAACACAAAACAGACGGCTCCATTGAACGGTACAAGCCAAGACTGGTTGCTAAGGGTTTTACTCAGACTTATAGGGTTGATTACCAAGAGACATTTGCACCGGTTGCTAAGATGAACTCTATGAGAATACTACTCTCTTTTGCAACCAATTTGGATTGGCCACTTCATCAGTTTGATGTGAAAAATGCCTTCCATCATAGAGACCTAGCAGAA